AGCGAGAAACTGCGGGTCGTCCAACACATTTCCCACGAGTTGCTCTCCTGCCAAGGTCCCGTCTGCCCCATAACGGCCCGACTCGGGGTCTGTGTGTGTGTGTGGGGGGGGGGGGGGGGGGGGGAGGAAGGGGGTCTTGGGGGGGAAAGCGGTGCGGAAAGAGCCCGTCTGAAAGTATCTCCCCCTTTTCTGCCATTTTATTACTGCACCTTCTTTTATCGCTACACGTTTGACAGAAACTCTCCCCTCAGAACTTCGTTCTCGTACCTGTGCCCTTTTCCCACCCTACCGCCTTGCCTCGGTGTGGTGGAGGCAGATCCCTCCCAGTCTTCAGATGATTTTTTGGGGGTGATGGGGGGGGGTTCCCACTATCTGGTGGTGACCCCACAGCAGATCGTAACGGGTGACCCAGCAGCAGTGGGGCGTAAAAGCCCCAAAACAGGCAGCAGTGGGAGAGATGCGGGCGCCCAGCTAATGCGTGGGAGCTCAATATAATTTCATGGAGGGAGAAGAGGAGGTGTGAGGGGGGGAGGATCAGTCCGGTAGCTAAAATGTGGGCTCCTGAACAACAATCCAACTTTATTTTAACTTTCTCTCCTCCGGCTTCTCCTTTTACAAAGCGCATACGCTTTTACTTTACAGGGGAACGAAATGCTTTATTAACTGCTGAGATTACAAACCTCATTTGGAATTGTGTTTTTTAACCGGAGTATACTTCGGGTTCTTGGAAAATTGCCCACATGTGTAACTTGTTTTTGCTTCTCTTCAGACAAGGAATTCCGCCTCCCCCCCCTTTTCAACCCCCCCCCTTCTTCTCACCACTTACGGATTTTTAACAGACGGCCGCATTCAAACTGAGGGCTAACACAGGAAATGGCAAAGGTAGATCTTTCTTCTTTCAGGCTACAGAAACTTATTTCACATCTTTTTATTAAAGAAAAAAAAAGAAGAAGAACTTTTACTCCTCAAGAGGGATTTTTGTTCCGCTCTCGTGACTTTGGGGGGGTTTGAGACTGAAGTTTTCTCTCTTAGATCCGCGTAAACGCGTTGTTTGTGACTTCTGAGTGCTTTGAGCCGGGATTTTATTACTCTTTCTTGGTTTAAAAAATATCCCTGTGATTATTATGATGAATAATTGCTATCTCGGCATACTTTTCATATCCGAAATTAACGCTCAGCCATTTGAAGGCTGAATGATCTCTGAGTCTGGTTTCCAGACTCCCCATAGCCGCGAGGTTCGCTCTCAGCTGTTATCCCCTCTTGCATATCCTTATCTCCTTCAAAACCCAACGTGCAAAGAAGAGTGAATATATCCAAAGTAAAGCACACTGCACACCACCTGGAAATCGTGATAGGACCCCCCCCCGTCCCATCCCAGCACAGCAAAAAGCCCCAGATCTCCCCCAGTCTCCTTCATCTCAGTGCTAAAGCGTCTGGAAAAGGAAGGTGCCAATGCTAATAAATGATAACAACCGTCCTTAAAAATAATGCAAGTGGTTCGATATGTTTTCAGGCAAAAAATAAAAAGAAAAATAAAAAAGAAAAAGAAAATAAATAGGATCGTCTGCTCTTTTATTTTTCTGGTGCCAAAACTTCCACATCAGCAAAAGATGGCAGCGGAGCAGACCTGCAAGCTGCATCTTGTGAAGGCGTTTTGTGTTCGGTCTGTGCAGCAATACCGACCCGAGGAAGCTGGTTGTTAAGGATGAATTTTTTGCAGCTGTGTGTTTCAAAGGGAAGCGCTGTGCGGAACTGGTTTTCTCTTTACAAACAAGAAAGATTATTTATAAACAACATCTGAGCTCGGAAGCCTCTGGGTTTCCATTGCAAGCTGACAATGCTCCCAGGTTTTCCTCACAGGCAAAATAATGCTTGGCACTGATTCTGAGAGCAGCAAAAAGTTTCCACTTTGGGCTTTTTTTTTTGGGGGGGGGAGTGGGTGTGTGTGGGGGGGTAACAGTTTCTAGTTCCATTTTAGCGACCAGCAATAAGCCCACACCTCAAGTGTAGGCAGCCGGTGTGCAAAGCGAAGCCCAGCTCGCACACCCTGGCTGCCCTAACCCAAAAACCCATCCCGAAATTGACTCTCCGATGTCTCTTTCCCCCCGGCTTTTTCTTCCTCGGAGTTCTTTTTTTTTTTCTCCCCTCTCTCTCAAAGAGAAGAGCCTTTCATGCCGTTTCTTTCGGGCTCTGTTTGAGGCTTTCAAGTATGAAGTCACAGGAAACAGACAGCACCACGCCACCGGGGCTCCCAGATCTGGGATGGAGCTGCTGCTCGCCTGGAGTCCCTCTCAGCAAAAGTTACAAAGATATGAGCTATGGGAATATGCACCAAAAATAAACTACTGAACAAACGGAAACCTCCAGAGGAGCGAAAGCAAATGGACTTGACAGATCAGCATGTGAAGTTTCCATCCACCAGGGATCTGAGAACTCCTGCTTTCTGCCTCACAGCCACACTCCTAAGAGTCTTCTTGGGCTGAATTTATATACTACAGAAGATTATATACTCACATGCTGACATAGTTCATCATTATTTATAGGAGGCGCACCAGGACTTTTTTTTTTTCCCCAAGAATATATTTATTACAGGTAAGACACAGCCAATCTATCTAGCAAACAGAGAACAGGTGTTTTGCTTCAATTAACGTTCAATAATTTTATCTATACTTATTCAACGCCCCGATGCCAACACGGCTGTTTATCCATCACTTGTATAAACACATTTCCACGAGCCAGGAGACTTTAATCTCCAGGACTCGCTTAAATCAGCCCTTCCCTTTTCCGAGCTCTCATAATGTTTTCAGAGTCCCTCCGAATCTGTTGTGAAATAGGCTGATGTAATAAAAAGAATAAAGTCTTCGAAGGCAATAAAGCAGAGGACTGCGGCAATCCGAGCAAGCGGCTCGCAATGCGCGGCTGATGACACGGGATCCCTTAAGTTCAATAACTCCGTACCGAGTTAAAGGGAAGAGCAAATCGAAGTGGGGGAAAGCAGGAATTTCGCCCATCGTTCGTCCCGCTTTGGGAGGCGAGCGATTTTGCCCCACGCTGCTCTACTTGTAGGCATTTCTCTGCCTTCCCCAGTGGAAAGGCAAAGGGATGAAGGGAGGTTGATTTGGATGCACCCCACAGAAAGGAGAGGAAGGTTTGTCGGGCGGTGAGGACTCACCTGGTCACATTTACACGCGACGGTCTTTGCAAGAGCTTAAACCAGGGCTCACCTTGGCTGGAGCCCGAGTCTGCCTCTGCTTTTCCAGAGCAGGCAGAGTTTTGCTCTGGCTGGGGGTGGAGGGGGGCTCTTATAACCTTGGCTGATGTAAAAAATGAAAAATAAATCCGACCTCCGGTACTGGGATCCGGCTCTCTCTGCCCGTCATCCCGACCCTCTCAATTAATTCTTTCTTTTTTCTTTTTTTTCTAATGAAAATGGACAGTTTCTTTCCAGCTCCTCTTGAAGAGGGTCTCTGGTTCTGGACGTAGGGAAAAGCGTCCCTCCATCACGCTGCCATCGAAAAACACCGCTGGTGGGAACAAGGGAAAATCGAACAATTTGGGTGTCGGGTTTTTAGCGCCTTAATGATCACCCCGTATCACCAAAAGACCTCTGATAGCAAATTCATAGATAGGTTTTGTGCAGACGGGCACATAGGAGTCTTGTACACGCACACACACGGTATCACAGACAGAGAGAGATGCGAAATACCCTTTTTCTTGATTTCAGGTGGCTATTAGCACCCCATCCCACCCCCCCAATGTTATTATTAGCCCGTTAATACAGGCTATATAATACTTACATCCCTATATACTTCAGAAAGGATTCGCGATGATTTATCATTCCTAGAAATCTCTTTGCCCTTCACATTAAATATCCTTCTGTGTTGGGGTGAGAGGAAGAAGGGCGGAGGGGCAATAGATTAAAGGAGGCGAATTGATCCAGACTGTTACAGCTGAAGTCCAGAAAAACACTTTTGCCCTAATCACACCGCGCACCTTTTCCTTAACCAACATTTACGACGCCATCAGATCATCTCGCAATAAACGCATTTGTCATAATAAGTCGGGGAGAAAAAAAAACTGACCCCGTTACCCCGCACCGCCGGGCGGGACCCGCACCGAACCGGAGCCGAGCGTCAATCATCGCATCCAGGGCTGGAAAAAATAAAAATAAAAATTAGAATTCTAATTAAAATGAAGGCGAAATGAGTCGGATCGTCGATAACGCCATCGGGGAGAGAGGGGCGGGGGGGGGGTGGCACGCACGCATACATGCGGTGGTGTGAGCGAGGTGTGCGGGGGGGGGACTGGGGGGGAACACCGTGACTGGAAAGGAGAGGGATCCCTTTTTTTTTTCTTTGCCCCTTTCTTTTTCCACAGGCAATAAATTCAGGACTATAAAAATCCAAGCAAGCTAATGTAAGTTTTATTAAACTCTTTAACCGTCTCAAGTCGGAGGCAGCCCGCAACAAAGCAGCGTCAGTGGCGCTCGGTATTTCACCGGGCTTGTAAAGTTCAATGAAGGTTTCTGATTCCAGAGACGTGGTGCATCAAGCTGGTTCGGCTCCAGCCAAACAACCCCGAGATAATGCCGCAAAACACGTGAAGATGTATTCACGTAAGGAGCGGTTTTGGGATGCGATATGGATAGAAGCACTCAGCCGAGGGCATTAAAGGGGGAGGCAGCGGGGAGGGGGGGGGGGGGGGGTCGTGTCTGCAGCTCGAGCCGTAATGTCACGCATATGCCACTCACATTTGAAATTTCATATTTGCCCCCATGATCGTACCACGTTAGCATCCATTTTCCGATGCCAGAGGGTTTGTTATTTACAACACCCTCCCACAACTCTTGCTTTTCCTTCCAAAAACGCGTTTCTACGCGCATCGTGTGCGTGCCGTTTAATGAGCACACGAGTATGTGTGGGTACGAAACCACCGGGGTGCGGGGGGGGGTGAGGGGGGGGAGGTTGGTTTCTACGTATTTTCTGCCTTTTTTTTTTTCTTTCTTTCTTATTTTTGCTATCGTACTCCGGAGCCCGAGTGGCAAAGAATAGCTTTTATCTCCATTCCCCCGTGGTGGTTATTAAAGGCGAAGTGAATACATCAGCATCTCTCATTAAAACAAAACAAAAAAAGGAAAAGAAAAGAAACCCGGACCCCCTCCCGGACCCCCCCATAACGTTTCAGCAGCAAAATCTACGTAGGGAGATATCAAGCCCAGCTCTGCCCGTTTCGTGGCTTTTCTAAACTCCTGACGTTTTGCAACATTGCATAAACATAAAACAATCCATCCTTGATATGGAATGCAAGGGCGGATGACAGCGCAGCGCAGCCCCCTCGGCTTCGATTGATTTACGCCGAGACTGACGCTTTATCAGGCACACGAAAAAAGTTTGACCAATCATTTTGCTGGGAGCTCACAACACAGCAGCCCAACTGTACTTTGTTGGCTAGGAAGTTCGAGAAGGGGGTAGAGTACAAATCTAGATCTGTCCTATATATATATATATTTTTTTTTCCCTTCATTGAACCGTGCTTTGTATGATGTCTGAGAATGTCCATTTCTGGGACTCTTAGCAATTACTATGTCGACTCTATTATAAGTCATGAAAGTGAAGACTCGCCTTCAGCTAAATTTTCATCTGGGCAATATACAAGTTCCAGGCAAGCTGGGCACAATGAACATCTAGAATTCCCCTCTTGTAGTTTTCAGCCAAAACCTCCAGTTTTCAGCGCCTCCTGGACTCCTTTGAATCCACATTCTTCTGGTACCCTTCCTGCCGTCTACCATCCATATATTCAACATCAAAGCGTCCCATCTGATAGCAGGTATCTACGGAGCTGGCTGGATCCAGTGCCCAGAGCAGAGACCCTCCCGGGGCAGGGATCTGTTAAGGCAGAGCCGCTGCTGGGCCGTCCCGGGGATGTCCATAAACAGGGAACACAGGAGTACAATTTAGAAACTTCTGCTGCAAGGGAAGGGATCGTTTCCAATCAAAGGCCCAGCTTCGAGGACAATAAAGTTTGTGAAGGAAGCGAAGACAAAGACAGAACAGATCAAAGTAAGTTATAAAAGTGAGGAAGTAAACAGTATAAAAGCTGGAGGAGGTGCAATAAAAGGGGACAATGCTGCGTAAAGTTTAAAATCAGGGCTTAAAGAAAACTCTCAGATGGCTGATGCCAACCTAAGGGGAGAGGTGGGGAGGGGAGAGGGGTGGCATTGTTTCTGCGGGGAAATACAAATAAAAATTAAAACGAGCGTCGTCTCCGACTAAAACAGAGTCCAGAGCGGACAAAAGCTGGATGGAGCCGTCCTCTTTCCTACAGAGCGCTGACTCCGGCAGCGGAGATCATTGCTGTAAGCGGGAATGAGGGCGCGCGGAGCTGCGGGCGGAGGGAACGGAGGGACGGGGGAGGAAGGGGCGGGGGGGGAAGAGCGGAGAAACGTCGGGAGAAGGGCCGGGAGAGGAGAGCGGAGGTCGGGGGAGAGAAAAGGGGAAAATCGTGGAGGAAAAGTTCACGTGGAGGGGGGGGAAGTAAAGAGCGGCGGGGGCTTTTCCGTGCCCGCTGCGCTGCGCCGCGCCGGCAGATTGCGGGCTCGGGGCTCCCCTTCACCTCGGGGTTTGTTTGTTTTGTTTTGGGTTTTGTTGTTGTTTTTTTTTTTTGCTGCCGAGTTTTGGTCGTGGATGTATTTGTTGTGCTTTGTGTGTTTTGCTTGGTTTCCTTTTTCCCTTTTTTTTTTTTCCCTTTCTCCCCCCCACCTCCCCTTTTTATTTATTACATATATTTTTTGGCACGCGTTCGCTTATTTCTGTTCCGAATTGCTCGCGTATTAACGCCTCACCTCAGGGTCTGACTATTTCAAAGCCGGAATATCACTATTTCCAAACTCCCTCCGAGTTGAGTTAAAAAGAGAGAGGGAGAGAGGAGTGCTTCCAGCTTAATTAGCTCTTTATTTGCAACGTAGCCAGATTGGAGAACAGCTAAACTTCATCGCGTGCCTTTTTAGTGACCTGGTTTCATTTTGACTCGCCCTGAAACGCAGAAAGAAAAATCGTTTTGATGCATTTAATAAGATTCTAGTTGAATTATAGTTGATTCTGCTTGTAATAGGCGTTGTTGTTATTACTAAAATGACGCAAGAGCGTTTGAGTGAGAAAGAACGGGTGTCCGGTTCGGTTGGTACCCGGGGTCCATCTGGAAGATGGAAGGGTTGTGCGGGAGGAGAGGGAGAAATTTGGCTCCAGCACCGCGGTGAATGTTTGCGCAGTGAAAGGCGAAGTTGTGCGGAGCGTTGGGTTGGAAAGGGCAGAGAAATCCCTCGCCAAGGGCACAGCGTGTGCAGGACACCCTGGCACAGCCATACCGTGAATTAACTTCGTTTCAGTTTTTCTATCCCCTCTCCATCCATCCCCCTCCTCTCCCCCCTTTTAATCCCTCACTAAAGTGTAAGAAAACGCGATGTATTCCCCCCTTCCGTCTGCACGATGGTGCGGGGTGTTATTTTTTTCCCCTATCGTTTGGCTTGCACGGTGCACACGCACTCACACACACACACACAGGCACAAAAAGAAAGTCCTGTTCTATTGTGCTGGGCAGAGATCCAGAACAAACTGCAAGCGGGAGGTGAACGGTCGGAGAGAATGAAATATCCAAGTTCTGTGCTCAATGTCCCTGAAATTCAATATAGAAAAGCCTCGTCCAAGAAAATGTTATTAAGTCCTAAGTAAGAGCAGGGACCCGAGCTAAGAGGATGCAGTGCGGTTGCTCTATGGCGTGTGGTTACGACGCACATTTTGTTTTAAATAATAGTTTAATTTGGGCTAATGTGGAGAGGCTGCCAGGGCTGGGAGACGGAGCTGTTTTGCAGAAAGCACTCCCACCCATTTCCCTGACTCTTTCAATTTTTGAAAGTATTTCACAATAATGAATCTCTGAGCCGGGTATGGCACCGGGATCTGTTAATTTATTTGCTAGGTTTGCAGGAAGCCATGTGCCAGAGCCTCCCCTCATTTCCTCACCCATTCGCGAGGGTGTATACAGTCAGTAAATAAAATACCCGCGTTTAAAATGCCTCCGATTTTAACGATCCGAGATACGACCGAAAAATAAAATAAAATAAAATAAACCCCAACCGAATAAAAATCCGTTATGATGCAGAGCCCTCCGTTGCCATTAAAGGATGGGTAGCAGGATTAACAGTATCAATTATTAACAGCTTTCTTCCTCTTTAATATTTAATCCTGCATATTAGATCGAGTCAATTACATTAAGGAAATAGCAGCGCAGATTTGGAAGAGGCAGCGCTTGCAGGGGAAGATGAAGCGGATTATTTGTAAAAATATTCGGTGTATTTGGTTTTACGTGGAGGGAACGTGGCGATGGGGCACGCGCGTGTGTGTGTGTATATATTTATAACGGTCCGTTTAATTGGTGTAAAGGTTTATGGCTTCGGCCATCGTTTCGGAGGACGAAAGGGAAATAAAATAGAAATACGCGGTCTGTTCTTTGCCTTTGCCTTTCCCGCCTCTCCTCTCCCCAGCACTCCT